ATATCGATATTGTTACTACTTAATTATTACTAATATTAAGTGTGTTTGTTTGCCATTTCTAGGCCTTATAACTATTCAAGCAGTCTTCGCAAATTGGGCTTGTACATATAGTATTTGGTGTAAAAGAGGGCATAAACTATTTATATATTAATTATGTAGATGAAATCTCAAGTGCAGCTCATAGTTAATAAGTTTAGTAGATTTCGTTTCATAAAAAAAGGAATTCAATATTGATAAAATTTCGACAATAGCAAAATTATTGACTCTAAATTCAAAACTGGCGAAAATTTATTATCGTATTAAAAGAATGAAACATACAGTATAACCTTCTCATTTTTGAAAAAGACTATCAACTTTATAAATATCAAATTTATCACTGTTTTATTATTTCTAATATTAATTGCATTCTGTGCCTTATCATATTATTTTAATCTGCTAATAACTTTTTTATAGTATTTTTTTGACGATATAGTTTGTTGTGACTCGCTTTATTTGATACCACTTATGATTATAATTATTATCAATATATCTATTTATTTTTGTCGTTAACAGCAATGCATGAATTTTAAAGTTCTAACTTAAAAGATCAGTATACAATACAATAGGTACAGTATCTGCCAATACGGGCATGAAAAAATATTAATCAGAAGTGGCAAGTCTTGAAGAGGTATATTTAGCTAATCGTAATTAGTATAAATTCAAAATACGCGATTCATAAAATAAATGTATGGAATTAACAATCCTAGAAAAAATTGTTAATAGTATTTCGTGACTGAATATAAAATACGCTAACAAGCTACAACAACTATATTTTCTATGAAATATTATATTATGTATGCATATTCTAATACTCAAATTAAAAAAATATATCGACTTTATGAAATATCGATATTGTTTACCGTGCCTAATGTAAAAGGATTGACATTTAAGGCCAAGAACGAACGAAGTGGTGGATTCAGACGAAGACAAAGTCTTCTGAGTGTACGTACATTGACAATATCGTAGTATTGCCAGCGTACTACTCGATATTAAGTACGTATTTAAATGTCAAGTCTAGTTTTGGGATTTTATATGAACTATAGGGAAACATTGCTGAAAATCTTACTCATGTTTCTGATACTAGGTATATGTAATGCACAGTTTTAAAATTTGAAGGATGATATATAAGATTACTAGGTTAACTATATTACAATTAACATACTCAGGAATGGCATCGCACAGGGTCACATATTTTTAATATTTTTTCTTTTTTTTTTTGATGAAAATGGAATCATACACACACCTATGCAAACAGTATACAGTGGCAGGGCACCGGTGGAGGATGAAATAATGAGGTGGAAGACAGTTCAGTTGGTCTGTCACGGCGAATTCACATAAAATTAAGATGATTTCCGGGGGACCTCGTGAAGGTCGATATGATAGGGTATATTTCTAGCAATGGAGACTAAACATTCCCATTACTAACAGTCCCTTCCTTCAAATATTTTCTGTATTATATATAGGCGATGGATCACTTGCATAAGATTGTAAACATTTTTTGGAACTTAGTATGTATTTTTATAAGTGTCAATACTTGCTTTGTAAATCTGTAAAAGATAATTCTTATTTAAAAATATGAAAATTATATTTCTGAACCTTTTTTATAATGGTAGAAATATCAATAAACTGACAGTCCGCCTGATGGATAGTGCTAATACAAATTCTAAACTTTATTGCGACTTGTTTGACTACTTTTTTCACAACACAGGGGGTAAACGAACATGTGGTTCACCTGATGGTAAGTGACTACCGCCGCCCTTGATCACACACAACACCAGAGGCATTGCAGGTGTGCTGCCGGCCTTTTCTTGAAAGTTATGATATCGTATTAGTTTGGAAATATTGCTGCTGGAAGTTGATTCCAAAGAGTGGTTATGTGTAGACGAAAGTGTAGACCATCACTTGTCTAGATGGTTGGGATGAAACTTTAGTTTATGGGGGGTTGTACGGTGGTGAAAATCAGCAGCAGAAAAAATCGTATTCATACAATCCCCATGTATGATATAAGCATTACCATTATATAAATACAATGAAATCTTCTGTCGATTGCTTTCCAAATTTATGTGGTTAATTGATGCAGATTTTTTTGTTATATTAAAAATTTTTTTATGTATAATAATTTAATATTTTTACAAGCTTCCATATTTACAAATATAGTAGAATTATAAGCAGATAAACTAAGATCAGAGCAGTTTCAAGAGCGTTATAATCTACCAATAAAAATAGAACATGAAATCTAATTTCGAAATAATAAAGATCATGAAATCGCTAGTAAATTACGGTCATCTCGTTTCGTCAGGTCAAACGGCTTAACATATGAAGGGCAAATCCTTAGTGAGCACAAATAAATAAGGTACTTCTTACGTATCATATTTTCCTGATCCCCGGGTATTAAGATACGAAGGGTCAGCAATAGATCGGACTTAGGGACTTGTAATTCTTGTTTTGCCGATCCCCAATTTATTTAAGTTGAAAGTTTTATTGTTTCTGTTTATTGAAAATCCGGATTCGGTCAATAGTCGATTGATTGTAAGCTCCGCATTAAGTAAAACGAAAAATAAATCACATACGAGTAAATATGTACAAAAACACAGATTGTATTGTTTATTACGTAAATACTAAGTAATCTAAGGTTTTCTATCTCGATTTTTAGATTAATACTATCTTGTGTATTGTTTACAGTTTTTTTTAGAAAATTGTCAACCCTTCGAAGGGTTGACAGTTCAGACAGCCTTTCAGTTTTATTGATACGCTGTACAATTTTATTTCTGGGTATTTTTTATGCAACTTAAAATATCAGTTTCAGCTGATGGCTTTTTATGAATTACTATTCCTGAAAACTGAGATGAAACATAACATCATCATCATACCATGTCGTTTCACTGTCATATACCACCAGGATGACCCCCTACTAGATAGAGTGATGACCTAAATTCGTTGTCATTGAGTCAGTGGATGCAGGTGGCTCAGGACCGTTCTTTATGGCAGTATATAGGGGAGGCTTATGTCCAGCAGTGGACGGATAATGGCTGAAATAATGATGATGATCACATTATATCATATTATATATATATATATATATATATATATATATATATATATATATATATCACATTTATTCGCTTGCTACATGGTACAATAAGAAGTTACATATACAGGTACACAACATGCAGCACCCCGCAGAGGTATGCAAATGTTAAATTGTATTTAGTCTTTACATTGCATTCCAAATATAAAGTCCAAACATTTTCCAAATTACAATATTCATTATGTCAAATTATCATATAAAATTATTGTTTATATTTTATCCCACTTTTCACAACTGTTTACTTTATGCACAACTATAACTGCATACAGGCTTTACTGTAGGGTACTGACCCTACGAATTCAATAGAATAACGGTTTCAGAGTGCTCTTAGGGCTACCGCTTTTGTAGTACCTCTAGCATGTTTGCCCAATCTCGCGTAGATGAAAGTTCTGCTATAAGAAGAAAGAGAACAGCATCATTGATACACAGAGTTAAGACAAGCACCAACAGCATTCTGAAAGTAATAGGCGACAAGTACAACTCGCCTGTAATTAAGCATTTCATTAAAATGCTAATTTAGTCGGCTGGGTTACATCTGAGTAAATCGCTTCAGTTGTATGTTCACTTTTTACTAAAATAGTTTGTAAGGAAATTAATACTAATAAAAAGGGTCAGTAGTCTGAAATTTGAATAATAATAATTATTAATTAAATAATAATAATATTATAATTATTTCAACAAAAAGACATACTATTCATTCATTTAAAAAAGAAGACTTTCTTTCCATATATTTTTTTTAGCCGATGTAGCGCTAAGCGGTAACATGCAATCTTACTTACACGTTTATAATGTAAATACACTAAGGTTGTGCTATATATTCCTGTTTCCCATTACCAGAATTTACACAATTACTTCAGCTAGCGGTGAAATATATCTCAAAATGGACGTTACAATCCCAAATCTTTAACAAAATGGCTTCCCAGAACACTTTAAGTGTAAGTAAGTGGCGTTCGGCGTCCGAAGATTTGCTGGACCGTCTCTAATGGGCTTTATCCTTATTTATTGAACTTTCCAAAACGAAATCGGCGCGATACAAAATTTAAAATTTCCTCCATTTTACCACACACACACATAGACTACGACTTCGATAACTAGAAAATTCCTGTTACTGAATAAATAATAAAATTAAATATGAAGGTATTGTTGGGTTTTATAATATTTATATACAGCTAATATCGACAATTTGCACTTATACGTCTACAAAAAAATAAAACTATAAATATAGGTATTTATTTATTTATAGGTCTTATTTGATATCAATTAATAAAATCTCATTTATCATCTCTATCAATGACATTACACTGCAATGTAATAGAATATTTTTAAAGAAAAATTAATATAAAAATTAGAAAAAAAGCCTCTCGCACTTATATAATGTTCAGCTTCGGAGTGATGATGATGTGATGATATACATATGTATATATGTCGTTCTCAAATATTTTTCTTATATTTCTTTTTTTAGGAAAATTGTCTGTTTCGCCCTAACACACCTAACATCATATAGATATATTAATAAAATCGCCCTAGATAATAGATACTTATACAGAATTTTGTACCAATTATTTAATTATAAATGCAATTATTACTTTAATTCCAAACCCTTGGTCATCTTTGGTCACAAATTTATGTATGCCATTAAAATAGAATAATTTTGCAAAAACACACCCAATCAATTCAGTAGTTTAAAATAAAAAGGAACATATTGAAAATCATTTTCCCCCACACTCCCACACAGCACAGTACGATTTGGGGTAATAAAATCGTAAATACCGCATCGAAAAGGGCTCTAATCGAGGAGGCTTATCAATCGTCTTTCATCTACTCTCCTTTGAAAGTCAACTTTAGGGATGATAAATAGGTCACAAGTACTAACGAGCTCAGACAAGCGTGCTGAGACGAACGTGTCGCGTCCCAAACCCGACACCTGGCGGATTAATGGAGCACTTAGGATTTATCGGAAAATTCGACAGTCATGATGTTTCCCTGGGTACTGAAAAATGTCTAAAAATAATATAAGACGTCTTAAGAACCCATTAACGTCCCACTGGTGGGCACGAGTCTTTCCCATTAAGAGGGGTATTCAAACCGACCATTACTGCGCTAGCCAGGCCGCCGTATAAGGATTTATTTCGAGTTGTCCTTCTCTTCCATTGATGTAATGTGCTTTGTTCACTTAGCCGCCTTTTACGCACCCTGAAACCGAAAAGTTTTGTAAACAAATTGTATTCTTTCTCAATCACCACACGGAAAAATATGTACTAAAACTTTTTTATTTTTAGTAATAGTTAACAGGCCTTCTTCTTCTGTTCTTCTTTTTGGATCTGTTCCTCAAGAACACCTCAGTCCTATTGAGCTACCTACATTAAAAGTTTTACAATTTTATTATACAGATTATTTAATTACACGAGTAAGTGTTAATTCATCCAACATTTTGATATCATCAGATGAGTTAAAAGACTTCAAATGATTTCAACATTCATAATATTAACATTAAATTTAGTCATAAATATCCATATACAATCTGTCTCTCGTTCTTATTTTTTTTTTTTTAAATACAAAGAATGGCAAAAAGTTGACGGCCCACTGATGGAAAGTGGTAACTTCGATGAGCAGTACCATAGACATAACAGAGTATACTGTTTCGCCCATGATACTCCCCATCCGTTGTGAATGAGGAATTTATTGAATAATTTCTTAGATGAATCATGCAAACACAACTGCTCCACGGTAGAAACACGAATGGGACAGAGGTACCCAAGCAATCGACTTTTGTACAAAGTCTCCCTATACAATAAAAGTTGCACATCTTCGATGGTACCATTAACATCGCAATTGGGTGAATGGGATTTATTCTGTAATTTCTAGATACTAATGCTCATTACCTACAGTTATATATATTTAGATATCATAATCATTATCAGCTTACTGTATTTCAATGTTAAGCATAGAGAGTGCCCTATATCCACCGCAGGGCTTCACTAGACGTACCATCCAAAACTCGCCATCCATCATCAAACCATCTTCAACTATTCATTTCTAAATTTTCTGCAACCATAAGTATATTCTTATTTTACCAAGCCGAAGAGTGTTCCACATTAATCATAAATAAATGGGAGAAAGGGATTGTTAGTGATGGAGCTTAAGGGCTTTACTGCCACCAATATATACAATCAGGTCGACCCCTACGCGGTCCTCCCTGGAAACCGTCGTGCTGTATTCCAAACGTATTCATTACGATGCGCTAACTGGTCTGCCTTTTCATCATCAACTATCTTCCTGGCTGGTGTCCCGCTGGCGTATATCATTAGCACTAACGGGGTCATCATTCCCTTATCATCCATATAAAAGAACTGTAAATAAATATTTACAACATAATAAAAGGAATAAAAGTAATAGAGAATAGAAGAGGCAAAACACTGAACCAACTTATACGACATGCCATGAAAGAGGAAACGGAAGACCGAGAAGTAAGTACATGGGACAGATACTTCTCGGTCTTCCGAAGGAAACATTAGATATCATGTCGTATAAGGAAGTCAAAGATATAGCCTGGAATAGTGCTGGTTGGAAGAGAATACATGAATAAGTTATCCCGACAAAAGGAAACTCTTTAAAAAAAGGGATATAATTTTCTTTCATTAATACAACTATCATACACATAGTAACATTATAATATACTAATATAGATATAAGATTATTCAACATATGATATTAATAATCATAGATTTGATTACCCCATACGAATAACCAACATACAAAGTATATTGTAATCCTAATCTTGAAACTAGTAATATAGTTTAGCATAAAACACTTGTACACGAATTGAAGCAAGGTATTCGGGTATTCACGTTCTGTATTAGGTATTTCTTTGGTTCGGCGATAAGTCGATACGTAATCAGCGATAAAAGAGCATATTGATAACAGTTAATGTACAGGATGTGTAATTTTTTAACCATGGAGAAGTTAATGTAATATCCAAAAGTGTCACGAACAAATAGTGCACGGCACTAGCCGTATTATAACAAGTTTGCAAGTTGAAAAAAATTAAAGCAGCATTCTACCTGTAAATCAGATTTTTTTTCTAAGACAGAGCTATGTTAGCTCAAAATTGAAATATTGTGAAAATAATCTAGAGCTTTCCATATAAATTTCATATTTGGACGCATATATAATACAAAAGTCGTTTACTTGGGTACCTCTATCCCATTCGTGATTCTACCGTGAAGCAGTTGTGTTTGCATGACTGTGTTTCGGTTTGAAGGATAGGATATTGCAGTGCAGCAGTATTTACAGGGTACAGGGGAATAACACCCGACTCCTCAGGAATGGCAACGCATGAGAGGGTTTCATGGGCGAAATAGTAGGCGATGGTTTTCACTTTCCAGGTGGGCCTTGGTGGCTTGTTTGCTATTCTAAGTTGCATAAAAAAGAAATTTTTTTGTTCATCTCTTTTTTTAGGAAAAACGTTTAATTTCATTAGTAAATACTCTTTAATAATAAAAGGATGCTAATAATTTTTATTTTATAATAAATAATATGTTTTTACGTCTTAAAATGTAAAAACTGCAGCATAATAGAGTACTACGAAAAATGTATAACTAGGTATACTTTATATTCAATAATATTTTGTGAAATCTCACTTTTATCTTTGGTTCTTTTTCGCTTTTAACTGACTATAAAAATAGGTTCTTAATTCGTTTTTTTTTTATGTTTATTACCTCAGAATTCCGTCTTAAACCGATTTGATTTTTTTCTTACTGAAAAGATGTTTTAGATTGGTCCACTAGAATTTTTTTCTACATAAATATAAAAAACAATAAACAAATCATTTAATTAATTAAAACTTGTTTTTCCCAATGTTGACCGGGAGGATATGAATTTTGGACCAAATATTTTTTTGTAATGTGACTACATTACAAAATATATTTAAATAAAAAATATGAAGAATAAATAAATAAATAAAATCTTGTAGCGAATTATTTAAAAAATAGCACACCCCATACACTATTTGTTGGCGATCCTACAAAGAAACCATGCTATCGTCATGGCACTATCTCATCATTACCAAAGTAAGTGTCAATACATATACTGGTTAGTGAATTTATCATTTTGCAGTGAAAAATAATATTTTGAAAAAAGAATAATAACACACAGTGTACCAAAACTATATAAAACTAGTAATGTGATTTATTAAAATGTTCAGTAAATATTACTAATGGAGCTTGGTAAGTAATGACTACTAAAACTACTAGCGTTCTAAATTTAAATTTCACTGTTAGATACTAGTCACGCCTTTTACTGTATTATTGTATTATGTCTAAAAGCGCCACTACCGAAGAAAGTGTTTATAGTCTTTGTATCAAAGGCTATCTTGCACCTAAAACTGAGATAATTGAAACATAAAAAAGCAAGATTTACATTTCTATACAAAAATAACAGTTAAAATTGTCTTAATTTTATTAATAAAAAAAGAGCTATCATAGGATAAGCTTAGACCATGTTTAAAAAAGAGTGGGTTGTCTCCATATAAATGCTTAGACAAAAATAGGACAACAATTTATCCATGAATGCGTGAAAAGTGATACCAGAATCTGTTGTTCAGTGTATGTAAAATAAATATTGTAAAATTAAATTGAAAAATAGAAAAGATTCTTACGACTTTATTTGAAAGATAGAGCTGTACAGATCATAATGATTCATAATGATACTGATCTTTACTGATTACATTGATTTTTATCTGAATTCGTTGTCGTTGTCAAATTTATCGAAAGCGATTTTTATTAATGCATGTATATTAATTTTTAAATAATATGTATTCTATACATAATATGTATATCAGTACATAAAAAACGGTACATAATTTCAATAAAAACAATTCACTTTATCTAAGCAATTTTTAATCCAATATTATTTGCAAAACTGAAAGTCCACCCTTTGTAATTATTAAAAAAAATGTGTTAATTTGTGTTATAACATATATTCAAGCAGCCAATGCGATGTTTGGCTGACTAAATAATGAGCTGTTTTTAACACTCTATGTTTCTTGCGTATATAATCTAAGTACTTTTTAATGGGTGATAATGGAATGGTAACCCCACCCGCGCTATCGGTATACACAGGCGGGTCACCAGTGAAGGATGATAGGTGAGGATGAAGCAGGTCAGTTAGCCCATCGTGACAAATTCAACAAGAATTGTTCACGATGGTTTCCAGGGGAACCACGTGGAGTTCGACCTAATAGGGCAAATTGCTAACAATGGGGCAGTCAAACTCCATTGCTAACAATCCCTTTCCCCCCTAATCTAAGTATTAGGTGAATCAAATACTAAGTACAGTACTGCAAATAAGAAACTACTAACTGCATATTATATTTTTACCAGAATTCTAGTAATTATTTGCGCATTTCACCACTTAAGGGGAGGAGCTAGCCCTATAAAAACGCATATATATGTTTTTTATGCAATTTGAAATGGCTATCCACCAGATAGAAAGTGATAACCGTTACTCCTGAGGATTAAGGCATCCTCTCTAGCATGTAATTTCTTTATCATATTCCTCCCTTTAAAGTGAAACACTGCCATGCAAACACAATTACTTGGAGGAAAAGGAAAGTAATAATATTACACATACAGCCCCATTGTAAGCAATATGCCCTATCAGGTCGATCTCTACACGGTTTCCCCTGGTAACCATCATAGTTAATTCTTCTAGGATTAGCCACTTACTTACTTTTCCATTTTCACCTATTAAAAAAACACACACAATTACTTCACGACTGGAACGCCAATGAACAGAGGTACAGTCTAAAATATTTTTTATGCACAGCTAAAACTAACCAAACAATTCTAGGGTTTTTTTTTAATAAGTGATAATGGAATGGTAATCCCGCCTGCGCTATCGGTATACACCGATGAGGCACCAATAGAAGATAATAGGTGAGAATAAATGCAGGTCAGTTGGCCCACCATGATGAATTCGACAAGAATTAAACATGATGGTTTCCAGGGGAAACCGCGTGGAAGTTAATCTGAGAGGGTATATTGCTAATAATGGGGCTATTAGACCCCATTACTAACAATCTCTTTCCCCCCAACAATTCTAGGGTATCCACGGCTATCCCGTCTTCCCTTAATAACGCCTATGTAGGTGACAGTGGGAGACATAAAGGAGAAATAAAGTTTTCTGGGTCAACTAGTATTTTGTACAACAAAGCTTGTGACAAAACTGTATATATGTTTTTTTTAAATAATTTATTATTTACTCTAATTAGTGATTTTATCATAATATCAGTCGTTTACTCTCCACTGCTGAATAAAGACCTCCTCTTATTCGGAAATTTTACCACTAATTGCCACGCTTGGCAAGCCGGTTGGCAACCACAGTTAACCTTGGGGATTAAGAGGGACGATTTTAATAGCCTCCCATGGGAAAGAAAGGGGGTGGCCCATTTTAAACCGGGCCTATACGGCGACAAGTGATTTAGTACCGTGTTATTGCGAATACAAAAGTCCTTGAAATAATCGGAAAGTCACTGACACATTACAGATTACCTATCTGTAAGACTTGGTAATTTTCTCTTTACGTGTCTGTTTTTAGGCAAATAGGTAAAACGAAATAAATGGATAAATTATTTAAATCTTTATTGTTGAATTAAACTCTTTGTTTCTCTCAAAAAATGATACAGATTACATACATATTTCAGTCACGACACAGTTATTTTTAACTAATATGGCTGTTATCGTACACTACCCTACTTTTGTAATTTTTATGGTTCCAATAAATACATTCAATTAATTATATGTTAATATTTTATTAATTAATTACAAAGAGCAAGGTAAAGAGGAGAAATTAATAATATAATTTAGGATTGTAGTTGCTGGATCGTATATTAACACAGCAGCTTAACTTGTGCAACTAGATTACCAGGTAGTAAAATGACAACCCTCACTACGAAGTGATCAGAACATAAGTACAGAGGTAAAAAATTCAAAAAAAAATATGAAAAGGTAATCAAGTTTGATTGAAATTATCATAGAAACACACTTAAACAAATATGATAACAAGTCGAAATATTCTATGAATTGATCGATGCTATTGGACATCAGCAAACAGTCTTATAGTTGGGTCAGTAATTCGATTGTTTACATTTTCATTAAATTGTATTGAAACAAACTAGTCATCAGAGAGATACCATGTGAGTCGCAAGGGAGAAAAGGGATTGTTAGTAATGGGGTCTAACTGACCCATTGCTAGCAATATCAGGTCGATCTCCACGCGGTTCCCCCTAGAAACCATCGTGGTTAATTCTATTGGAATTCGTCACGATTAGCTAACTGACCTGCTTTTATCGTCATTTATACTCACTGGTGCCCCGCTAGCTTATACCGATAGCGCAGGTGGGGTTACCATTTAATAAAAAAAAAATATATGAGTCGCAGTGTCTTCTACAATCTCCATTATACTGTTCATGTCTATAAGTTACAGTTACTAATTTCCAATAACTTGTTTGTTAAATTACACAAAGAATTGGCATTAGAGATCTGTAGACACTAAAAAAAAATTGTTTTTGTTTGCAGATGTAATTCTATTAACGCTATGGATATGGATGATACCATTGGCAGTAGAATCCGGTGTGTTGCGAAATTATGATCTTCAGGAGATGCCATGCCTTTCTTATGTACTTAATGGCCTTCTACATATTGACTGCTCTGATGCTGAACTAACTGAATTGCCCTCTGACTTGAATTATAATGTAAGTATATTATATATTTTGTTTTATTTCTTAATTTGAAAACAGCGATATTCAGTCCTCAATCTTGTCATTTTCAAATTAAGAAATTAGAAAATGTTTAAAACTAATAATGTATAAGGTAATATGACACATATATATATATATATATATATATATATATATATATATATATATACGTCTATAATACCTCGATAAGGTAATGTTAAATTTAACTGGACTATCTATGGAATATAGAAAATATATTTCTTAGTTTAATACATAGAATACGTCACTAGAATAATAATTATTTTTATATTGATTATGAATACAAAATACATAGCTGATATTATAGTCTGAGAAGTTTCAAATTTTATATTCAGATAACATTGAAGTTGATAAACTATTATTTGTATAAGTTAAAATTATTTTTGTTATTAAAAATTCACAATTTATTTTTTATCCACTTGCTGGCGTCCGATTGTGCTGAAATTTACTTAGAATATATATGTTTGGTGACAATACAATATATTATGGTACCATTGAATTGGTCTGATGATGAGAATGTATGGTAGTCATACAAAAGCTTCTTTTAAAAAATGTTTTATGATAAACTTGTTATATGTGTATGTTAAAAAATATCCCAGTTAATTCTATACTGCTTTTTACGACTCTTCTTATAATCTATAGGAAATACTATCATGTCACATCCATAATAATTTCTTCAAGACAGAAATTTCTTTGGTTTTCTTGTGGAATATTGTTTTTTTTTTTTATTTATAATAATATATCGTTTCTGATTTTTTCAGGCACAAGTCCTCGATCTGTCAAATAACAACTTCGCAACATTTCCAGCCGAACTCGAACATTTTTCTAAAATAGAATACTTGGACTTATCTGGAAATCACTTGAACAGTCCGTTGCCGGCATATATGCCAAATTTAAAAGACCTGAAGACTTTAAATTTATCAAATAATAATTACGAAGTTTGGGTGGTAACCAGGCAGACCTATATGATCACAATATTAGACTTATCTAAAAACAAAATCAATAAAATCGACGATGGCGCTTTCAGCGAATTTCCTCACTTGTACTTCCTTAATTTGTTTGAAAATAGAATTTACGACTTTCCACCGAATACATTTGCGGAAACCAAAAACTTGGACACGCTCATTTTGTCCAGAAATTACTTTTCCGCTGTACCAAAATTCCAATCGTCGTCTTTGACGAGCCTTCACTTAAGCAACTGTCAAATAACAAATTTAAGTGTAAATTCATTACTCGATATGAACTCATTACTGCACATCGATCTATCTATGAACCAAATTGAAAATATTCCTGATTATTTTGTGTCGCATACGCTGCAAGAATTAGATTTAAGTTACAACTACATTACATCGCTCACAGATAATAGTTTCTCGTCATTGCCGCATTTAGCGGTTTTAGATTTGAGAGGAAACGACTTCAAAGATGTATGGTCGACTTCACACTTCGCCTCAAATCCATATTTGAGGGAAATCCAAGTGAAAGGAAACCGATGGAGCTGCGAAGGTTTTAGCGTCAATTTGCTACTCACTTATGAATTTTTGACTAAGCAACCACCGAAAACTAAAGATGTAGCATCTCTTATTTGTTATTCGCCTTCAAATGTAACACAAATGAGTTGGCGGCAGGCGTATATAAGAACTTGGCACCCAGATGACTCCTCCGAGTCTTACACAGCGATAGCGGTGATGGTTGGGATTGTAATTGGCATTGTGCTTACTTCGTTTGTTTGCCGGGGACTGATAGCTATAAACAGATCAGAGAATTCGACGCCAACTCCAGAGACGACAGTTTTGAATCTCAATGGTACGAGTCAGTCATCTGAAGCCGTGGTTTTGCGAATTCCTCTGCAGGAAGACCTTCCCCCGACATACGATGAGGCTCTGCTTATGCCACGGTTGAATGCCTCGTTCCATTCCTTACCCGATTTCGTTGATGAAGATGAAAACGAAACACAAAGTCATCGTCGCTCTCGGTCTATTGGTGATCTCACGGAATATAGACCTAGAACATTCGATAGACGCTCTATAAGACGGACAATACAAATACATAATAGTAATTTAAACTCATAACATAAAAATACTTATTATTTATAACATAAAATATTTTTATTTTAATTAATTAAGTATAGGTGTTTAAGTTATTTAATAAAATTATCATTAAAATTTTCAGTATTGTTATCAAATGTTTTAGTAAAATCAAAATGATGGTAATTTTTATTTTTTTTTATTTCATCGTGATAAAAATAAAATTAAAGTAGGTAAATTTAAATTTCATCTATACCTATCATCCCTCGCACTGATACCTATCCGTCGTATACCGTAGGCGGGATTAACATTCCATTATCAGCCATTAAAAAAATATTACTTAAGATCCCGCTGTCATCTGCACCCGCAGATGTTTCAGGAAAGTTGGTTTAATCGAAAAATGAGCATAAATATAATACAATACATCCAGGTTGCCTGCTCTCATTAAACCAAAACACTAGATCTACTAGTCTTTCTTGCGAGCACTTTTTTATAGACTACCCTATGTTGCTGTATAGAATACAAAATTAACTTTCATTTAATGTAGGTTTTATCAAAAAAAGAACCAACTCCAATTTGGTTAGATCCTATAACTAAATAACTACTAATGACCTATAACGTTAATAAATTTTTATATTTATTACATCTGTTCATAATTTTTGAAACTTTCATACAGACCATTGAGACTACGTGATTACATAATCAATTTATTACATATTTTTATGTAGGTTCATAATTGTTCAGTTTCGTCAGGTTCCATGTACAAATAATTTAACTAATTTTTAGCGCGGTATGCCCATTATAACTAACCCTGTATGTTTTTTAAAACAAAACACTTATTTTCCTCTATTCAATGTTTTACATTTCACATAGAGCTCAATAATCATGGAAAAAATATTAATATTTTGTTTATGATAGCACTCATCAATATTTTTATTTAATTATGAATTATACTGCCATCTATACTTCTTGATATGAATATCATTTAAATGACCTACATCTACTTCACGTTGCTAGTCTGTAAATATATTGTTAAAGAAACACTCGGTAGATGGCGCTTTTATGTAAAAACTTATCAATTTTTTTATTATTATTTTTGCTAAATCTTTTATTAAAATAAATGTATTGATATAGATATTTTACGGTATCTAATATTAATTATTTACATATCTAATAAAATGTCATTGCATATCAATAATCTAACTTTGTTATTTCTTATATAGGCATTGCAATTAAATATTTAAAAGTGTAAATAAAAAAAAAACAATAATAAAACAATGTCAACTAATTTACAGTACCAATCGACTTTCGCATATAACATAATCCAGATTACTCAGTAAGCTTATATATCTATAATCTTCGCCATTCTTTATCAACTATCTACAATGATAACACGTCACACTTTTGTCCATTCAGTGTTAAAATCTAATGGAATCCACACGCATACGAGTATTCTATTACAGTGAAATTAATGATAACAATGCAATACAAAATACCTGTTCTACTCATTAATCATATGTGACATAAGTGTAATCGTAAACAGTGTTCTTACTTCTGCTGTACTTAAGTGATAAAAATAGCTGGTCTGATAAGGTTAGTCACATTTTTCCTACAGATTCAGGATATCACTTGAATAATCCATGTGTTCAAAATAATTTGTCTATCTAACAAGCAGGATTTTTCAAAAAGAAATTTACTTTAATCGTAACAGAAATAAGATGGATCAAAGGGAATAACATAAATATTTCGGGATTTCTCCACAATATACGATATGTATTGCTGTGTAGTCCCGGCATAGAAAAGGCCACCCCTTCTTTTTCCGTGGGTGTCGTACGCGACTAAGGGAAAGCGAGGGATGTGCAGCAGCCTCCTTCTTAAAACATCTCCAACTGCGGTTGTCAATTCGTCTGCCAAGCGTAGCAACTACTGACAAAACTCCCCAACGGAGAGGCTTATGTTCAGCAGTGGTCAGTTAAAGGGTGATATGATGATGATGATGATGATACGACATGTAATGATGATAATTAGAAGAAACTTAGAAAAATGAGTGAAATTATATCAGTAGATAGAGCTGTTACTGAACAATGTTATTATGACATTACGCATCCCTTATCGGTACTTCATATTATAGTTGTTTCAATCGATAGGTATATTAAATAACTCTTAATCTTTTATTATTCATGTTAAAATAGGGATTTTCAACCCTATTAGTAGCAATGTATTCTATCTGGTTTACTTCTACGCATGGCCGTAGCTGAGGGGGAGGGGGGCATTGACGAACAGTACCCTACCTTAAAAGACCCAATGCTCTACCTCACCTTAAAAGGCCCCAAGTAAATTAGACAGATTCCCTTTTTCGAAGTCACTTAATTATGGCTTCTGCCCTACCAAAAAGTTCTTTTACAGTACCTTAAACTTGGATCTGGCTACGGCCCTGCCTCTATGCGGTTCCTTCTGGAAACCATCACGATAGGCTAACTGGTCTGCTTTCATCCTCACCTGTCATCTCTCGTCGGTGCCTAGCGTTCACTAATAGATTACTATTCCATTACCATCCATTAAAAAAACTTTCTACGACTAATAACTATTTTATTATATAAGTAATGAATTAATGTTTGCTATTAAAAACTTGACTTATACCTATCAAATTTGGCAGCGATAAACAAAAAGCTAGAAACTGATATAATATGACAAATCGCTAATATGTAAGTCTGCAATATTTTTATTAGATATCAGATAATTAACTGCCCACACATTGTACTTATTGCTTTAAATTTGAAACATATTTCTTCCAATTTCATTAAATTCTTACTTTTTTGTTTTACTTTACATGAGTTTGTTGCTTTTTGACACCTTAATAGATCAACCAATAATAATCCAATAATATTATATAAAATTTGAAATTTGAGGATATATCCTGATAATCGACATAATTGTCTCCTTAATACAAAGTACATAATAAAAGTCTAAATAAAAATATAGATTTATAATAAAACCGTATTTATTAAATAAATACATAGTTTGGTTTCTAATTTAACTAAAATCTAAAGACTACATATTTAATAAAACTTAGTTCTGTATCATTTTAAAAAAATTGGTTTTGCATTTTGTTCCTTTATTAGTATTTTTAAAAATTGTTTTTGTACTAGAGAGAGTATTCTAGAGAGAGTGCCGTCATTCATTCCCTAAAATTTAAATTTTAGTCGGAAATAAAGAGCGTTGCTTTAGAATCTATCTTACTTAGATGATTTTTTATTTTACAATTAACATAATTCTGTATATATATATAATATTATAATTATATAATAATCATGAAAATATTCAACCTCATAGTTATATGAGAATTTAATCTTCTGGTTTTTTATCGTTTCCGTTTATCTGTCATCGGTTTGCTATTACTCATAGCTGTAATCACTAGAAGACTAGTGCTTGTATACTGTACGTACAGTGGTATCTTCACAAGGAATTCCTACAATTTTTGTTTTTTTTTTTTTTAATAAAGTTTCTCTGAACCGTTCTCCGCCAACCTCATGTAGAGGTGTCTAGATGAGTCATGTATTCATAATTTCAATGACAATTTATAGGATAAATACATCGTAAAATATAATCTACTGATACTAATGTAATAAAATTGTAACTAGATGATGTCTGTATATGGTAGATATTTAAAAAAAATATATATATATGAGAGTTTTAATAAGAGCAACAGAAACCAAAAGAATATTTTTTAGAAATTTTGCATGTCTGTATGTATGTACGTTAGTTTTAGTATAAAATAAAATCTACTGTATCAATTTGGATAGCTTTACCCACAAGTATCTTTTCAACTGATAAATTAAGACGCGATTTTCAATAAGTTTTGTTTTAATTCATACACATGGAAAATTTTTATATTATCTCAGGAGTCCAAATAAGCATGACGAAATAGATAAATTTTGTCTTAATTGTTAAAACAAAATACTTTGTTTTAATATTTAATAAACAATAACAAAATTTATTTAGAGTAAATTGTATCGATTTGATATCAGCAATAAATTAATAAAAAAACGCTTAAATTTACTATTAATTGTGTATCAAACAGATAAAAAGTGACAAGAAAATGAGTTAAAACAAAGAAGACTATACTCATTACGATAAAGAAGAAAGAAATATATTTTCTAAATTTCTTTCTTATTTCATAATCCGATTATAGTAATTGGGAATTAAAATAAGTTAAATAAGTAAGCAGGCTCGTCAAAACATTTTTTTTTTATTAATTCAATAAATATTTATATCATCAAATAGCTCGTACTTACTTAAAATTATTATTAAGCAATAGACACTAATGCTATTATTTTCAAAGTAGAGCGAATAGATAAGATTAGGAACGTAAAGCAATGTATCACTACGCTTTTTCATTCCCAAGATGTCGTAAAAAGTGGTTAGAAGAACAAAGCGCATTATAGTGTGCTAGAGGAGGAATTATAAACAAAATTCTATACTAAATCTTCTGCCTTTATTAAGTAGTAGGATGTAAGGTTGGTTGTGGTGGTTATTATGGATTATTAGGTTGATGGAATATAAGTGAACACTTGACTCCAGTTCAGGTATCCCTAAATAATAGCCACTATAAATGGTTTGCGTAAATTTTTAAACAATTATTGTAAATCTAGTTTAAAATTTTTGTTAAATGAGATAGAATATATCCCCGTGTTGGTTTTATATATTTTTTATTACAATTATAGTCGCTGTCTTTTGTTGTGATATAAAATCTGAAAAATTTGCAATCATGATTCATATATAATGTTTTCGGGATTTACAAAAAACATGAATTCAGCTGTGTGACAAAAATGCATATAAAAAGAAATAAAAAATGCAACCTTTGAATAAAATATAATAATAAACTCTTTATTGCGCACAGTAGAGATGTATACAAGGAGTATTTATACAGAATGCGCATATACAAAAGGCGGCCTTATCGCTAAAAGCAATCTCTTACAGACAACTTGGGCGATTATTATATTAAATTATAGGCGATTTATTAATAAGAATAACTTGAAAGGTAAAATAACTTTAACTTTTTTATTCCAAATAATAATCTGATTACTACATTTCCATAGTGAAGAGCAAAATATATGAAATCAGCCTTATGATAGTTATGAAAAAGAAGGAATATGATAATTTATTTAATACCTAACTTATTATGCCCGGTGCATTTATACGACATAAAATTAATAAAAATAAGTAATCACTGATTGTACCAGCAATGATTCATGCATTATCTTTTGAAACTCGAGTAAAGAAACAAAGCGAACTTCAACGATATATTTGTCATTATTGCATTACCATGCTAATAAAATCCATTGGCAATCGATGGAATTACAATTAACACAAAACTTTCTTATCATAACTGATGTGGCCATATGGATAAATATATACACGCAGGCATAGTAATTTTAAAAGTTGATCAAAATTCATCAAAGTGAAAACTAGATATTTTCCCAAAATAATATGAATCGCCGTGTGGTCCCGGTGTAGAATGGGCCGCCCTATTCTTTTGTGATTGTTGTAAGAGGCGACTAAGGGAACTTAATGATCGCAGGATAGACAGTGGTGTCCACCTTAAAACATAATCAAATTCTAACTGCGGTTGCCAACCTACCTGCCAACCCTTATGGAAGAGGCTTGTGTTCAGCAGTGGACAGTTAACGGCTGATACGGTGATGACGATGAATATGAATCTAAAAATGAGAAAAAAATTTGTACAGGAGGCTCAAAATAGATTTTTTTATCCACGTTTCTTTAGAAAAAATCTCCATTTAAAGAATTCTAATTTCAATATCACTCCATATTAAAGAAAACGTCCAGACTAATACAAATAGATATAATCAATTAAATAAATATATGTATAAAGTCGAAACCAAACCCATCGTCTTTAAGAGATGATACAGTGTTAAATTGCTACATCGCCAAGGTTGTCATTGTTGTCATCAGATTGTTAGTAATGCGAACTACTATTTCCGTTGCTAACAATATACTCCATCATGTCAACCTCCACGAGGTCCCCCCTGGAAACCATCATGCTGAATTCCAGGTGTATTAATCACGATGGGATAACTGACCTGCTCTTTCATTTTCACTTATCATCCCTTACTGGTGCTCCGCCGGTGTATACCAATAGCGCAGGCGAGGTTACCATTCCATTATCATCCATTAAAAAAAATCTGTTTATTCGTGACCACGCCCAGTTTAATCTAGTGGAAATGTCGTCATAAATATCAACCATAAACTGTCCACTGGTGAACATAGGCCTCCTCCATATAGGAGAATTTTGTCAGTAGTTGCCACGCTTGGTAAGCGGGTCGGCAACCGTAGCTAGGCTTATAGTGATGTTTTAAGAAAGACGTTGCTGCCAATTCCTCTATCATTAAGTTTCCTTAGTCGCCTCTTACAACATCCATGGGAAAGAAAGAGGTAGCCTATTCTATGCTGCGACCACATGATGGATACCTAAACACCTAAAGAATCGTATTAATTCCCCTCTCTTATAAAACAAAAAATACAACATTTTTAATACAATTTTATGCGACTAATAACATAACCACAAAAAAAATATTTCATATGAAAATTATTAATTTCATTGCAACTCTTTAAAAATTGTGGTAACTTATTTCTAAATATAGGTATCTATATTATTATGCTTATCTAAATTTAAGAGCAAGAACTCCACTGACAAAGTCACAGCTCTTAAATAGGATAGATAGATCTAAATTTAATTATTTATGCTTTCAGGGTTGCTATAGTTGTAATCACAGAATATCAGCACACAAAAGAATACGAAATATGGTTCGAGATTTTAATAACAGGTACGTAAGTAAACGTATACGACCCAAATTCATATCACAATCTACTGTTTTATCAATAACTGATAACAAAGATAAAAATTGTTGTATGTACATAATTGTAGGTACCACAATAAGTACACTTACAAAAAGTCTGTGACAATATTGTGTATACACAAGGACTGCCCTTCTTTTCGGTCTTGATACGTGACGTGAAAGTAAAATGGATTAACCGCTACGAACGCAGGTGTTCTAGACACCTCAGTCCTCATCGAATTTGGTGAAGAAAATGTTGTGCACATAATTCAAAGGAAAATAACAATAAAAAACTTGCAGGTAGTGATGAACAGGTGACGTGATGCTCTTTAAGGTGACAGCGGGTATTCTGCTTTCATATATCCTGATTATAAAAGGGGAACTGTTGGACTTTGAAGATGGAACATCGGATAGAGTTTGCAGTATTTGTCACTGCAGCAAAGATAAAACATCCGTCGACTGTTCACGTAGAGGTCTCACAGAGATTCCTGAGGGTCTTGATAGAAAGGTAATATTAACAATAAGAATAAATATGTTACTTTAAAATAAGAATAGCTCTAAATAATAATAAGTAATAATAATAATATTACTAGACGCTACCAGTGTTAGTTTTCTATTGGATTTCATTAAAGTTTAATATTAAATTCTTTTTCAGGTGAAATATCTGAATATTTCAAATAATGAAATAACCGACTTCCCCAATCTGGCAGCAGTTTACAATTTAATTTCCTTGGATGTAAGCGGAAATCTTCTCAATAAAATGTCAGAAGATGCACTTTATAATCTTACAAAAATAGAAATACTTAATTTGTCAAGTAATAATTTTGAAGAATGGTTCAAGCTAAACCCTAACTTTCTTCTTCGGGGAACACCAGTCTTAAAAACCTTAGATTTATCACATAATAAATTCAAATCAATGAACAATTTACAAACTCATGAACTTTTTATAAGCCAATCTTTAGAAATCTTGATTCTGGATAACTGCGAAATAAACTCTATACACGGAAGATCGTTTTTAAGTGGACTTACTAATTTACAAGAACTACAATTAAATTCAAACCCTTTAATGAGACTTCAAAACTTGGTTTCGCAATCTTTAAAGAAACTCTTTATTAGCAACACACAACTAATGTCAATTGAATCTATTGATTTATCTTCTTTGACATCATTAATTTATTTAAGGTTATCATACAATTATCGGTTGAAATTGTCTTCAACCAAAATAGTATCAGATACTGTCAAATACTTAGATATATCTTACTGTAATTTACTAAAACCTAATATACAAGGATTTCCAAATTTGAAAAAAGCTATAATTAGTCATAACACGATTAGATATCTAATAAGTAATGAATTTGTCAATAACACAAAGTTAGAATATTTAGATTTATCATACAATAATATTGGATCTCTAAGAACAAATACCTTTCGAGGTCTTGGTTTATTAAAATTTTTGGATTTATCTTGGAATGAAATAGCTACTGTACCGGAAAATAGTTTACTAGAAATGCCTTCACTTACTCATATAAGACTATCTAGAAATTACCTTACACGCGTTGGTCACTTAAAATCAGAATCATTGACAGACTTAGATATGAGTTCCTGCGAAATTAATTCTATTGGGAAAGATTCTTTAGAAGGCCTACAATCACTTGTTGATTTAGATTTATCTCATAATGTTATTTCGCACATTCCAGATAGTATTTCATCTAACACACTCAAATATTTGAATTTAAACGTTAACAGAATAAGTTTTATAAATAATTATACTTTTTTTATGCTTCCACGATTAACAAGTTTATCATTGATCGGTAATAGGTTTACAACCATATGGAAAAGATCTTATTTTCAATCAAATCCGTATTTGGAGAGACTTGAAGTAAGCGACAATATGTGGCGATGCGATTGTAAAGATGATAATATGTATGATTTTTATGAGTTTCTGACTCTAGAACCTTACGGCAAAGAAGATTCATATAATCTTATATGTAACAGTCCAACAAATGTAATTGGACAAACTTGGTTGGAAGCATGTTACTTTATATGGAATCCACCAGAAAAAGGACCTAATCCAGATAGTTTGATTTGGTTTTTAATTATTATGATTATAGGTTTAGCATCCTGTATAGCAATAGTAAATTGTATCAGAAATTCTATGAAACGGCGTTTAGCAGCATTACAAGCAGATAGGGAAAGACAAGCGGAGGAAATTAGGGATAGGTTAAGACAAGAGAGAATACGTGCAGAACAAGAAGCATTATGTAACACTCCAGATCCTAGGGACTTAGTCCCACCTCCCACGTACGACGAAGCTCTTACGATGCCTAAATTGAGTGCATCTTATCATTCACTGTGTGAAGCCGGAACAGGTAAAACAAAGCGAAGACGAGGACGAAGAAAAACCAAATCTAGTGGCGATTTATTGGAAGAGACTGAAAGAAACGGTAATTTACCTGTAATTAATGATTTAGAACTTACCGAGGTAAATGACCATAACGATAGACAAAGGCGCAGACGAAGAACAAGAACGTGTGGTAGCCAAGAAATTAGTGAACTGGAGCAATCACCCGGTGCACGTCGCAGGCGCATGTCAGAATATGGTATCGTTGATAATGATATTGAAGTAGAAGTTGAACTGACACAACCTTTACGTGAAAGAACAAGAAGACACTCTAGTGATAATGATGAACTACGAGAAAGTGATTTTTAGTGAGAGAAGTGATTTTTAGCCATTCTTTTATTCTTCGTTGCAGTGGCGTTATAAGACGGTAGCAAAGCGAGCAAAATGCCATGGGCTCCCAACCTGAGTGGTTTACCTGGTTCTAGTAGTCGTAAGCACAGAAAGAATTTAACATTTATTAAATAAAAAAAATAGTGTTTAATCAATTTAAGAAGTAAATATTTTTTTTTAATTAATTAAAGAATTGAACTATTAACTGAAGGACACACATGCATGAATTATATAAATAAATTATGAAGATTTCACCAAGGCATTTTCAAGTAAAAACCAAAATAGACACATTAATTACAATAGTGTTGGTAAATATACATATTAGCATAGTCATATCAAATGATTTAGATAAAGGAAGGGTTGAGCCTCTGAGTTTACCCCAGGCCTCAGATGGTATATTTACGCCACTGCTTCGTTGCTTATTCGATATATTATTAAGTAAAGAAGAGAAATATATAGTACATTATTTTTTATAACTTCTATCCGTATAGGTAGTTTATATATTGGAACCATTGTTAGTTTAAGTAGGCACCTACCTACAAAATATATCTATTTTAATTTAAAATAATGTTATAAACAATAATAATATCATAAACAATAACTTTCAGCTGAATAATAAGCTTCCAATAATATCAAATTAAATAATTATATAAACTATTTTATAAGTAACTTTATATATATTTTTTTTATTAAAATCGACAATTGATATACTCAAGTGTGACTGATCAATTTATCTGTTATATTATTTAAACAAGATAAATATGCACTATTTATTACCTTCTTTTTTGCGGCTAACCCGAACTTATTTTTTGAATTAATGTGAATTAAATTATTAATTACTTTCGAGTGTTTCAATTATAAGAGCAAAATATTACAGAATATATTTTGAATTTCCAGTACTTTTTGTTATTATAATTAGATGTATTTGATACTGATATATAAGCATAATGACAAAAAAATATATAACGATATTTTTATGTATAAGATCAAATTTTATGATGGATTTCTTTTATATTCAGCTAAAACTGACCCACCGAATGTAAATTCGTTAAATCGGTTTCAATGAGTACCAACTATAACGATTATAAGTAGGTAATGATAGAGTATGAAGTTCATCACAAATTCAATATACAAGAAAGCTTATTAAAAATATTTTCAATATTTTTTTCTTTTATTCTTATGTAATTTTAAGATACCTTCAACAAACAGAAAATAAAAAATAGCAAACATTACATATCATTTATTCTTTAGGATTCTGACAAAACGTTACGTATTCAAATAAATGAAGTAGCAAACTACAATCAACGGTGATTCATTCTACATTATAAAAAAAAACAACAAATTTTACCTTCCTCTTCACTTTTAAGATGCATTTGTTGTGGTAGATAACTTTTTTGCAGATCTAATAGGTAAAATAAAATAACAATGAATAACATATGTAGTAACTAAAATTAAATACTAACATGGAAATACTTAGTTAAATGGTTTAGACAAGAAAAGCGAAAAAAAAATAATTATATGAACAATTTCGTTTATATTAATAATATTTGATATTCTGGCCAATATACAATAGTGCCCTCTAGACTATTCAATGTGTAATGAAACTGTTTCAAAAGTATAATTATTTTTATCATAATCTAATAGATGGCGCTATAGGTCTACTTGGTACTTGGTAACACTTGGATATTCACTTCGATACAGAAGGGAATTTCTATAGGAAAGCATTGCAGTTAATTTAAATAGCTAAAAAACTTATGTGAAGCAATCATCTACTGAATCTAAAAAACTATACCAATGTCAAATACTTCAAGAGATTGTTATACCATATTATTGTTTTTGTTAATTAGCATGCTGTGTTTCCTTTAAAATGATTGTACGCTAAGTATAAATAGACAGTAATTATAATATTAAATCTTATCAGTGTAACAATTGCTAGGAGACCAAATAAAGATAAAATAAAATAAAATAAAATAGGTCTGATATTTAATATAAAACGATCGTTTAATTTATTTTGCATGATTTTTTTATTGGTAAAATAAATCTAGGCGATATAATTCATGTTCAAAATTAAAGAAAAAAATGGTTATAAAAATAAATTTGACAGCTATGTTTTTTTTCTGCAATGGTAATTAAAAAGGTATCCACACGGTAGACACGATCAATTCAAAGTGAACATGTTCTTTTATATAATTTTTGGGCATTCAATGTTGTAATGGAAATTTCCACCACTATGTAAAGAAAGATTAAATTTGTATTAAGTATAGTATAATAGGTGTGATATATTAATAAAATACAACTTCTACTTATTAGAACAGCAGTCCTATATCTGTTGTACTTTATCTCTTAGGTATTTTGATACACAATTCTGGCAATGACAGATAAGCAGTTTTAACTTTAGATTTTTTTTTAATGGTATGGCTCCAAACTTTAGGTTGATGATTTAAAAAAATCTAATTTAAGTTTTAACAAAATTAAAAAAAGAGGTCAATAGCAATTTTTACAAATATTTACAATAATAAAATATACTGTCAATTAATTTTCCGTTATCTAAGTAAAAAGACAGGTCATGATTATGTAAACCTAAACATTTATTAATGACTCATCAAAAATTTATTTATAATTTTTATTTATTTAATAATTATATTTTAAATATATAAAGGATTTACTGTCATGTTTGAGGATATATATTATTTTTTGCGTGCATGATAATGCACCAGTTGTGAACCGATATGACGAATCTTTTTACAAATTACGAGTATTTACAAAATGAGGTCTCAGGTTCAATGTCATCAGTGAGCATAATTCATTACTTCCAACTAGTGTAATTGAACTTTTTATAAAAACTTTTGAATGTAAACTTTGAACCTCTCGTACTGAATATTTTGTCAGTTTTGACCCATATTTCTTTAAAAAAAAAGTTTAATTTTGTTAAGAGTCAAAAATTACTACCATATTTCAACTTGGTAGATAATTTACCTTGCGATAAGTCGTTCAGTTTCATGAATAGGTATTATCACTGAATACACCAGATGAGTTTGTTTATTTAAAGACGCTAATCTTTAGCAAGTAAATACTTACCTATTAAACAGATTTAAAAAAAAAAGCTGTTGATATCTTAATTCTTAAGAAAGGTAGGCTATTCAACATCATGATATGACCATGAAAGAAGCCGCGGGATACTAATAGTAATTTCAAAAAATATTTTACAAGACTTCAACTACTTTTAAACTTCATCTCATCGTTTCAAGTGTACTATAATACCTACTTTATTATCAGCCCAGAGAATTATCTATAAATATACAACCAGAAATGTATATTATTCACACAAAAGCATAAGATGCTATTTCAATTCCGGCAATAGACCACAGACAGCAGTTGCAATGTAGTTGCGACCGCAGACGTCATTACTGGTTTCTATGCATTCCAATAACGGCGAGTAGATACTCGTTGCATATCAACAGCTATCAATGCTGCTGAAATTATATTTATTGTAAGTATGTGTAAACAAAGCGAATAAAAGAGGTACTGTGCTCGAAATGATTCCGAACAACACTGGAATAGCGCCTTGAATTAGAAGAAAAAAAATGGTGAAGTCATGTTTTCTATGTAGGACGAAATACTATCGTAATATCACAGTATAAGAAATAACCATAACCATAGAAATAATAATAGCGGTCCTGTCTTCGACAAGAGAGGAGGAATTGTTAATAATGAGAACTAAATGCCCTATTGCTAGTCAACCTCCAAGGATCCATCTTCGAAACTATTTTGGTAAATTTTTGATAAATTCGATACGATGAGACAAATGATTTAATTTTATCCTCATCTCATTGCTTAATAGTATGTCGCCAGGGTAAACAATAACGTTGACGAAGTTTCGATTTCGTTTAACTATCTCTTGAAAAAATTTCTTTAGCATGTCTTCAACGATTCTATCATTCGTATAGATATGTCCGCTAAATGGCTAAATCGGATAGAATTCCGTAAGGTATTATGCCAAATGCACCATTTTAAGTTAATAGCCATTTTGTTACTGATAGTAAATAGTAATATACGATATCTATTTATGTAGTAGGTTATATTTGTTAAAATTGTCTATAGTACTGAATAAAACAAAGTAATTTCGAATCAACCATTTATATCTTATTGTTGAAAAATACATCATTTTCATAGAATCTGCTTAGAAAACTATTATTGTTCAATATTTTGTTCCATTTATTAATAAAAAAAGATTTTGATTGGTTCTTACATTACCGCTGTAGTGTAAGATTCAATCAAATTTTTATATTATTACCATTTAATTAAATTACTTGCCCATTTAAAAACTAAATATGTAGGTTGATTGATATAAGCGCAGTAAATATATAATAAAAAGCAGTCCTTAATTACGAAATAAAACAATTGCGAATACAAAATAAAACTAGATAACTATACATACATGAAGGAAATCGAATTAATTTATATACATACAAATATGAATAGCGGAAATTACTTAAAATAAATGGTATCACATTCTTAAATACTAACATTAAACTAGTATAAAAATTACTTCAGAGGAACTTATTTTTAGCCAGACCTTACAAGAATGAATCTCTCTGGAATAATTAGAAAATAAACATAGCCAAATTTACTTTCGTTGTTATTATATTACTGTCTATGCAGGATAGTAAGTACACAACCATTAAATTTTAGAAACCAAGAATTGTACAATTTCTATCAGTAACGTCAATAGATACACATACATGCAATAAAATGATTGTACAAACACACATTGGTTGTTACGTAGACAACTACAGAAATATAGAAATTATTAATAATAATTACTAAAAATATACGTTATTACTAACATGAACATGGCAACACTTTTTACACGTATAAAAATATGATTTATTTATTGCGCAATATACTCTCATAAATATTTATACCACTAACAAGTTAAAGGCACCGTCGACTACAAACACACTTTGGCAGCAAATATCAATCTATACTTAAAACGTACTGACCAACCAAATATACCAGTTCTTCACACATAAGATTTGCTCCAACTATGCACACAAAATAATCACAGAATTTCGCCAATAGTGAAGTGTTTGTTGACTGACACTGTTTGACACTAATAATAAGTGCTAATGTTTTTTCTATTAACACTAAGTTTCAAGTGGTTGACTTGCGCCCATTAGTATCTCCTGAAGGAGTAATAATGATGTCTCCAGCATTTGATCTACTTCTGGTGACTAGAACTGGTGTTTTCGGCTTTGGAATTTCTGTCATCTTTATTCGGACCCTTCCCATATCTGGTGAATAAACTGGAACATAGTCACGAGATGGTGAAAGGAAATCAGAATCTGTATTTTGATCACCATTAATTAGAGGCTGAGAAAAATCGGAATCAGCATTCCCATTTAATCTAGGTGTATCATCGTCATTCAGAGGCACAAAAATGTCTTCACTAGATAAAGAATTTGTGTCTTTTCTAGAATCAGGTGAAGCTGGTGCCGATTCGGCCGATGTTTCTTCTTGGGGAGTTTGTTTTTCTTCCACTAAATTATTATCTTTTGAGCTATTTTTATTCTGGTTTGTATCTCTTGGACTATCAGTTCTTGTACCATTATTGCCATTATATTTTATTCCATTAACAACATCACCATTTTCGCCTTTTTTTTGAATTGGCTCATGTGTGGGTACTTTCATGTATTTACCATTTACCGCTTTTTCTTTAGAAGGATCTAAACCAGCTGGTTTACCTAATAATGCTGTATTCATTTCTACCATTTCTTTTGTAGCTTTTTCTACATCTGTTTTCTGTTGTCTTAGAATTCTTCTATCTCTTCTTTTTCTTATTTGGCCTTTGATTATAGCAAACCCAATTAACCCTACCAATAGAACAACGATAATTGCAATACAAACATAAGTACCAGTTTTATGCGTCACCTCTTTTTTAATAGTTGTTGGTGCTGCACCTAAATTCTCTGATGCCTGAGTTACTCTTATATGTTCTGATACTGTAGTATCCCGTGATACTTGAACTGTTGCAGGATATTCCGTAGGAATATCAGTAACTTCCGATTTTATTTGCCAATCTGAACCGCCTTCATAAACAGACGGTGCCTCTGGTATGGGAAATTCTGTGCTATTATTGAAATTATCTTCAAATATTCGACGTACTGGACCTGGATTTAATTCCACAAATGCGGGAGTAACAGCTTCCGTCGTATCTTCTTCGTTAAAGATTTGGAATGGTATAAAACCAGATCCAGATCCTTCTCCTGATCCTTCATCAGAAGTCGCATTAGGAACATTATTTGCTGGGAAAATGTCATCATCTTCAAACATTTTCGAATCCAATTTACGATCTTGATCTTGTAAAGGTGTAATAATAACAGGTACTGTCGTACTCTCAGCTTCACCAGACCCTTCAATATCATCTAAAGGAGATTGAGAAGTAGAGTGGCCAACTTTCATAAATTGTTTTACGTCATCATCATCATTTTCAACATCATTACCTCCCTGTATGACATTACCATCCTCTAAATCATTACTAGCTACTAAAGGCATTGACTTTAGAGCCGTAGTTTCTTCACCAATTCGCATTGCATCTATTGGCTGATCACCCAACATCATATCTAGATAATTTGGTTCTGATCTTGGAATTTTACAAATATCCTTTGTTTTTAATTCAAGCCAAGATCGGCCTTTTAATTTTTTAGGGGCATTACACACAACTGTATCGATAAATACATTTGACAGCAACAAACGATCCCGTGCCATTATGTTTTCACATGAGCAATTAAGAGGATTACCCTCTAATTCTAAATGTTCCAAACCAATGAGATGGCCAAAATCCGAAGGTACATCTTCCAATAGATTATTAGTTAAATCTAATGAACTGACACTAGTAGGTAGTTGCGTTAAGGAAAGCGTTCGTATCCTGTTATTGGCAAGATTGAGATGAACCAATTTTTTAGCATTATGTAAGAATTTGTTTAGATTCGTTATTCCATTGGTGGAAAGATCTAATGTGACCACTTCAGTAAGACGATCAAGTTCATGTGTCAGCTTGGTAATATTATTATGCGACAGATCCAAAATGTTTATATTATGATGCTTTTGACGAAGGGTGAATTTGTATAGTTTGACGAGATCACTGCAGGTGGCGCGATGGAGTCCATCACGAGTGGTACTACACACACAACTATCAGGACAGACTGCTGCTAAACTGGGCGTCGCCAACAGGAATATTGCCAGAAAATAGAAGGTTTCTTGAAGCCACATCGCCATGGTTGGAACTCAGCACCTGGAATGTAAAAAAAAAGTAATTTTGTAAAAAGAAACAAAAGACAATATTCTAAATTTAATAATTATAAAATAATAGTAATAATAAACAATATAATAATTAAAATGATGATATATAATCTAATTATATAAGTATGTATTATTATAAACACTATCTACGTAGATTATATTAATCTATAATATGTTAAAAAATAATAATAATAAGTTCTGTCTGACTGACTGATCATCGCTAAGTGGAATCTATTAAAATTATATACATATGTACATTCAGTTACTATTATTTTATGTATACAGGAAAAGTAAAGATGAGAATGTAATGATTTAAAAAAATCTAAATGATCAAATATTGTATCAAAAAATATATTTCATACGTTGCACATTACATGTTACAGTCGTGTGCAGTGTGTAAAGCAATTAAATAAATCACAACGTCCCCAGTCACAATTTGTAGAATAAATAACAGAGTGACATACGATGAGCGGTCCCCCGTGGTCTATTACCAACTCCGCCTCTCCAATTACTGCAACTGCAGTTATAAGCCAATTTGAATATACGAACTTCCTTTAAATGATAACGGCTCCTTGGTCTAGGACACAACATTCAACTATCCTAGAAATAAAAACAAGACTGTGAAACTCTTATTTGTACTTTTATATATCTGCTTATTAATAAAATTTGTGTATTTGTAGCTGTTAATGTTTCCAATGTAATCGAGTATTGTTATCGTTTTTGATATTTTATTTATGTCAATTATAAATTGTAGATGAATATAAAAAGATTTGTCTCTGACCGACTGACTTTTTAACTGATATACATATCACAGCACAATAAATCGTTGAATGGAAAACAAATATAAAATCTTTTTATGATGAAAAAAGTGTTCCTGAAATTCCCACAAGAACAGAAGATAATAAGATCTACACTGATAAAGATAAATATCTCATACGAGAGATTCCGTTCAACTTTTATATAGTTTTGTATTACATTTTAATATAAGAACACCCGGATTTACGTATATTTTAGTCGAGAATGCTCGACTAGTTTCGGGATCATCCGGGACCCTTAGTCATTAGTCTTGTATTAATGATATTGATTAATGATACTAGGATAAATTTAGAATTTATAATCATTGTATAAAACATTTGTACTATTTCAAAGTTCAGTTAGTTCTATAAAATACTCGATCAATTTTCTAATGTGGAATTCTCAAAGTTATAGTCTGTAACATTATTTACACGCAACTATGAAGTGCAGGAGAAGTTTTGCAACTTTAAAAATATGTCATTTTTTAGTCATATGACGACTCTAAATAGACTAAATAATGACGTCAATGACGTCGTTAAGGTTGCAAAACCGACCTTGCTATTTGTAATTATAATTTACTTTAAAATTATCCAACAACGTATAACGTCTCATAATAGCAGATTATAGTACCAAAATAATGCTATAGACACACCATTAAAAATGTTAAATATTCCCAGAGGGAGACTTTGTACAGAAGTTGTACTGTTTGATTACCTCTATTGCACTTGTTTCTACTATTAACAACAAGTGTATTTGTCGTAGTCCTATTTTAGTTAAAACAATAGATTATATTATATATCAGCCGTTAACTGTCCACTATAAGATAAGTTTTGTCAGTAGTTCCCACGCAGATAGGCGAGTTGTCAACAGCAGTTAGACTTTGGTAATGTTTTAAGAGGGACGTTGTGCCCATTCCTCGGCCATTGAGTACCCTTTATCGTCTCTTACGATACCCATGAGAAAGGAAGGGGTGGCCTATTTTATACCGAAACCACACAGCATGAAATCGGCATGGTAGTCAAAGATGAGATATGACAGTGAAATTACAGATTATGGAGAGATAAGATCTTAGCTCTCAAGAATGCAACGCATGAATGGTACAATTGGCATCACAGTGCGTTCTGTGATGTTCATATCTATAGGCGAATTATTATTTTTCATCAAGTGGACAGGTCTAAATAATTACTCACTTTTTTTTTAATAATATAAGATTTTGTCATGAATAATATAAGATGTTTGTGACGAAAGTAATTATTTTGATTTAAAAAATACTAAACCGACTTTGAATAAATTACTATGAAATTAATCTGTAAGTATATCCTTTCAGATAAAAAAATAATTTTTCAAATCAGTTTACAACTGACGGAGTTACGAGGTAACAAACATAAAAAATACAACTGAGAATTGAGAGCCTCCTTCTTTTTGAAGTCGGTTAAAAGGAAACTACAAGTATTTCTTAAAATATTTATAAGTACCTATAACCTGTCGATTATAATATACTAAACACACAAAACGGTTAGTTCTATTTTGATCTACGTAACAACATCCTGACTGCACTTGGCCGGCGCTCGCTCCAGAAGTGGTTCAATGTTATACTGACAGGAAACCGCCGGTTAACCATTTGTGCGAATATGAGGATCACAACGTCAAAACTATTTTCTTGTGGGGTCTGACTGAAAAATTGTATTGCGCAAATGCAATAGTTACATTGGAAATATTGAAATCAATTTCAATCTTTTGACGGGAACATTAAATTCTCGGGTTTAAATAACAACTAATATCTAGTCCTTAAATTATTATTATATATTGTATATTTAGCTGTTAACTGTCCTGAATATAGGCTTCCTCCACCAGGGGGCTCTTGTCAGTAATTACCATGCTTGGCAGACGATTGGAACCGCAATTAAGCTTTAGTAACGTAATAAGAGAAACGATGCTGCCGATCCCTCACGGCATATATTTGATATGTATCTATTTTTTTTAAATATAGAAATATGTATGCATATCATAGTCTAATAGCCTTGGTACATGCTTTGCCCAAATAGAGATTATAGACAGCACTATATGACCAGGGCTCTAGAACTATTTATAGAGTAAGTTATGAACTTATCGCAACAATAGCAATATTCGATAAGATAACAATAAATTCACAATTTCAGTTATTCCTAACCAAAGAACATCATAATAATAAGTAATAAGCAAGATGAGTTCAAAGTCTTAATTTGAAGGCCACGCGAAGTAATCTAATGCTTAGTTGAAGACATATCAACAAAAGAAACAAGAATCATCGTGTCAAGTGTGCTGATTTCGAAAATAGAAACATTGAAATTATGTATTTTTTATAAACAATTATACAATATTTATGATTGATTATTTAAAAAGTAGTCTGATAACAGACTAAAATAATAATCATAGAACTACTGGGTTGTAAATATGCTATTTTTTAAGTTTTTGATTTTGGAATTTCTTTATACATTTTGCCATCAAAACACTAAATTTTTAGCGATAGCTACAGATTAATATATTTTAGGTAGAACAGAAAATCAACGTTTTAATTCACTATTGGAACACTTTTGAAATAATTAATAAGAAATATTAAAAAGGTTTCGAAAATTACTACACTACAGTGCGAACATTCTAAAACATAATTAGAAAGACACATGTGGCTTGATTTAATTTTAAATCCATCTCCAGAATTAAAAATAAACGTTATTGTTTTTAAAGTTAGAAACGAAAACAAAAATAAACGTCAGTATACGACGTGCAGTATATTATGCTGAGAGTCTATCGTTAAACAGCGGTAAGCTTGGGGCATGGTCCAATTTATAAGAAGTCTAGATATTAATCTATCATATCAATAAATGTTAATGTGTGCTATACTTTACTGTGTAATTAAATATATAATACTTTTAACATTGTAGCAAGACAGTTTTATAGGTATATTTACTTATGCAATTATTTGACATTTTATCAAAACACAATCTATTATTTTTTACATGATATTTAATGTCTTGATGATCAAAATCCACAAAGCGAAAGTGAGCATGTTTTTTTTATTATTGACTATCAATGAATTCAAAATCTATATATTATTTCCATTACATTTTTAGCTATATATAATTCAACTGCACTATTTATTTGCATTCAAAATATTATAATCAAATATATATTGTCTATTGAAAATATAAGTAATGAACATAAAATTACTCCATTTACTCTCTCTGTTTAGCGATTGATTATTAGATAGGCATTAGGTTCGCCTTGTAGAAACATTTGCATATGAATTAAGGTTCAAAATTGCATAAATAAATAAAATAGACGTTTAGAGAGTTGCTCTTTTTTTAATTATAATATTACTAAAAGTAAATAAAAATCAGAAAAAACTACATGTAATTTTAACAATGGTAAGTGATAAACGAAATACTTTACCAATGGCCAAATTTAATAAAATTCAATTACTCGCAGCTTGTATCTTGGACTAAATTACCATGATCGGCCTTCGCGCTGCTTATAGACATTATTCGACCTTTCCTGTCTCCAACCGATTTAGTTTGATGTCATAACACTTATGACACCATATCATCGGCTATTAGTATTTATTCGTATGACTAAGTGCATTGTCTTTCGATACTGGAATTTTAGTTTTTTTTAGTACTTCCTCGTTGCCGTTATAATTCAAATTGCAAAAAAATATTGTTATTACTTTTTCCAGATGTCTGAAATTGATAGTATCATTAGATTATATTTGGATCATCATCATATCAGCCATTATCAATTCACAGCTGAACATTGGCGTCCCCAATAGACTGCAATAAGGTCCTGAGCCATCTTAATTATAATTTAGTTACACACAATTATAATATTAATTATATTACTATTATAATTATATCTTTTTAGACAGTTTTCAAGGTTTTGTACGTAAGGAGATAGCTTTAATGGTGGCTCGTCCATGAGGCGATTAAGTATGACACATGATATCATATACATGTATAAACAATTTTCTTTTTGATATTAGTGTAAAGAAAATATCTCTGGAAAATCAACGTGGAAACGCTACAAGCGTTACTTTTGAGTCGAGCACGGAACGTGAACATTATTTTGACTGATTGTTAGTTTAAAATTACATTGTTTTTAGATTTATTTTAAATTTACAAATTTACATTTTTTAGATTAATTATTGTGTATATAATTTTTTTA